AATGTAGGAAAGATTACAAATAGGGTAAAAGATAGTATTTGCTACACGTATTAGATTTGTAGTTTACGGCACTAAGAGCCCGTTTGGCCAAACTGCCAAAATTTGCTTATTTTGGAAAGTACTTTTTTTTTAAAAGTACTTTTTTCAAAAGTACTTTTGAAAAAAAAACTTTTTGTGTTCGGACAATTCATTTAAGAAATACTTTTTCCAATTTGGTAAACAAATTGTGTTTGGCCAATCTTTCTAAAAAGTACTTTTGAGTGTCAAATTACCAAAAAGAATAGTACTAAGGTCTTATAATTCTTTTAAAGAGAAAAATAAACTTAAATATTTATCATAAGATGCTTTTATTATTTTTTATTTTATTTAATAAATATAAAACATAAAAGTACAAACATATTAAAGATTTAAATCAATTTTACATATATAGTTATACCAAAGCATATAATATTATCTAGTATATTACTTATCGTTACATGATGATTGGAATAATCAAAATACATCATTCAATATAAATTAGAAGTCTATTCCACAAATTACTATATATTGATAATCCACCATGAAATAATGAGTAAAGTTACTCACATATAATAATATTTCTCAATAATTTCATCTCTACTTCTATTGCACAACGCCTCCATATTAGTATAAGACTTGCCTTGCATTTCTAAAGGAATAACAGAAGGCCCATCTCCTTCCCCAATCTTTGCAGTAATATCTTCAATAGCATAATAGTTGAATTCCTTATCGGTAGAAGAATCGTCGGATGAAATTATATATAGCCATGGTTGTTGTAACTAGATAATTCTGAGTGTCAAACTTGAAAGATGGCATTGAGCGTAAAATAATAATTATTTTAAATATATATAAAGATTCGTAAAAAAATAGTTAAGTATGTTTAAATTCAAATTCAAAAAGTGCAACTAATTATTAACAACAGATAATATATAATTTAATATTTTTTAAAATTTAAATTCAAAAAGAAACTAATTATTACATAACCTTACTAACTTTGTCCTAAATTGCTAAGTGGCCTATTGTGAGGCCGCCACTTGGCTTAATGTGGATGTTTTTTTTAATAATAGATAGATAGATTATGCGATGCAATTGTAAATTTATTACTTATTTATACGTAATTTTCACAAATTAGATTTGATGACTGTTTTGAAGATTCGGGAGCTAATAATATATAATAGAATAAATTATAAATGATTATTTGCAGGAAGAGAATTGATATCCAAAGAAGGATGTAGATAATTTGCTTTAGTGTGAAAAAAGAAGAAGATAATTTGTAAAGTTACAAGACATTACACAAAGAAAAAAATCAAAAACAAGAAAAGTCAATAAAGAATTTGAAAAGTTACAATATGATTCATGTATACAATGTCTTTAATTTTAAAAGAATGGTAAAAACTAGAAACAAAAATGAAAAGAAAAAAACTTAAATTAGTAAAGGATAATTTGAAATATATATATTTACGGTGAGGATAGTTTTGTCTTGAATAAATTAATTTTCTACTTCTGCTTCTACTTCTTGGAAGAAGCTAGAATTTTCTGGTTCTTCCTAAAAACAGAAAAACTGTTTATGCTGCTGGCCAAAAGTACTTTACCTTCGATCTACACTCTTTGACAGGCCTCAAGGCCTTTCTTCAATATCGTGATCTTCTATTAAGACTGGGGTCTTTAAATAAATAAAATAATAAAAGCAAACTTTTTTTTAATATGAACATATTCAATCTCAAACTAACAAAATTCTTTCTTCTGAATTATATCATGAAGACCAGTAACATAAATGATCTCAATTTCCAAGCAGATTACAAGGAGAATCTTGACAAAAGTTGTCTAAGATGTTTTAGAATATGTTATAACATGCAAAGAGATCTCATGAGCGGTGGGTCAGTCCCCCAAGCCATTTTAAAGAAGCAAATTGATCAAGCAACAATAGGTAAAGAAACTATTACGTGAATCAATGGAAAAAAAGGTAAAAATATCAACCCGGACCACTAATAAACCGGCCAAGAAAGTATACATGCTAACCCAAAATCAAAGCTTATTAGCGGTCTCAGCCTTGTTTGTAGGATAAAGATGGATCTTATTAATTACAACAATCACATTCATAATGAAAATCTAATAAACTTTTAATTAAGCTCTCTAATAGATAAACTCAAGCAATTATAACTACAGAATTCATCTAAAACACCAAGGCATATTAAATTACATGAAATTAATAGGAGAAAAGGAAACGGCGAAAGGAAGTAAATAATGTACGTGAAGATGATATCTTTGTTTTTCCAAAATGAGAGCCAAGCCTCCTATCACGAAAGCACATACATCTCCTCAAAACATCCTTGAGATATGTTTTACAAGATCTTTTGAGATAAGAAACTTCACAACTTCAACTTTTTTAAAAGACAAAGCACTACAACAAAAGTGCTAATTACATGGGGATTTTACCTGGGAATTTTATTTGCAGATAATACCTGGGGATTTTTATGGGAAAAATTAAAATTCCTAAATTTAGAATTTTTTACATGCGAAAAATAATTTTTCAAGAAAAATCCGTAGGTAAATTTGGTGCCATAATGCACCGATATATTTTCTAGGAAAATTACCTAGGGCAAGTACATTTTGCAGGGAAATTCACAGGTAATTAAACAAAAAAAATGGAAAAAATTTCCTATGATAATCCGTAGGAAAATCCCCAGGTAGAGCTACATGTGAATTTACTTGGGGTATTGTCTTGGAAATTTACCTGGGGATTTTCTTATTTGGGGAATTACCTAGGGATATTGTTATTGCGGATTTAGCTGGAGATTTTTTTTGAGGGGATTTACCTGGGGATTGCCTTAGTTGGGAAATTACGTACATAGGGATATTGTTGATGCGGAATTAGCTCGGAAAATTTTCTTGGGGATTTACTTGAGAATTTTCTTACTTGAAAAATTACCTAGAGATTTTGTTGTTGTATATTTAGTTAAAAAAACAATTCTTGGGGATTTGCTTATTTGGAAAATTACATGGAAATTTTATTATTATAAGTTTTGCTAGAAACTTGTTCTTGGTGATATAGCTAGGATTTTTCATACCTAAAAATTTATCTGAAATTTTGATTGGAGATTTGTTCTTAGGATTTAGATAGAAATGTTACTGTTGCTGCTTTAGTTGAATATATAATACTTCAAAATTTACCTGAGGATTTTACCGTAAGATATTTAAATTTGATATATACGTGTTCAATATTACAAGTCATTAAATCATAATATAGTCAGTCATTACTTTTTTAATTACTTCAATAACAAAATTATTAGCATAAATCTAGTTATTTCAAGAACTAAAATTTTAATATGGTTGACATAAAAGGATATAACAAAACTAAGATACGGCTATGTCTCGCATATTTAGTTAATATCATCAGAAAATATACTAAATCATGCATAAGTGCATAATTTAAGCTTAATTTTTAAGCAGAGAAAAATTATATTATATTTATAAAAAATGCAACTAACTTTTATTAACCTTTTGTCTTATGTATGTTATTTTTTCACATGTATTTAAAATGATAAAATTTAATTGTAGTATGTTAAAATGATATTAGTTTGTAAATGTTTACTATTGAAACTTAATTTCAAGTGACCATATGGTTTTACTTTGTAACATCATCTCTTGATTAGCTTCTATCATATTAAAATAACTTGATCTTGTATAAATTATTAGGATTAACGAAATAATTCTTATCAATTACGAGGTACAAGAATTTTTGTTAATTAATATAATATTTATATAAACAGAAATTAGTGGTATTCAATGAATATAAACGAAACTTTTGAAAAAATAAATAAGACTATTATTAAACTAAAAGTATATAATTAATATGCATCCTTGATAATGAATATAAGACTATTATTGTGTAGGGAAAGAAAGTGAATCAAGACATTAATATGCATTATTCCCACACGCATTGATCGGCTATTATGTTGACACATTTTAGGAAATGTGAATCCTTGATAATATGGTGCTGTAAGACAGGAGACCGCTTCCATTGATTTTAGCTTCACTAGTCTTTTTTTTTTTAGTTTTTACCAAAGAAAATATTCAATTTCTTAAAATAATCGTATTAGTAGTAGTTAAAGATTTAAAGTGGCTCATCATCTTTGAAAGAGAAATAAACTTCAGAAAACGGGTAAAAAGATTAATTACACTAACATCTTACATAATATTAGTATACTATAATTTACTTTTTTTTTTTGAAGCTTTGAAGTGATAAGTGGAAATAAAGTATGCCTTGTAATATTTATGAACACCTAGCTAGCTAACTTTGTCCCCACACATATTCTCTTTAGCTACTTTTTGAAGCTTTCCATACTGCATGCTCTATGAAATCATTGACATTAAAGCTTGAAGTTTCTTAAGGCAACTAAAAATGAATTTAAGAAAAAAGGTCTATGTTGTTGGCAGCTGTACCCGCTAAGCTGGAAAAAGTGCTTAATGGCTTAGCTAATTACCCTATTATTTTAATATTACAATCAGATACTTTAATTTTCTTTAATGCTTTTTTTTCTCTCCTTATGAAGCATATATATTCACGTGATTTTTCCTAATATTTTGGGTTAAGTAAAGTATAAACCAAAATGAGCTTAGCTTCCCCAACAGAAGAAAAATCATTATGGATGAGCTAGGATAAAGTGGAAATAGTTAGTTTAAGACAAACGAGGGACTTGGAAAATCATTTATTATCTTTCATGTTAGTCATAACTAACGCTTTATTGGAGAAACTATCATGGGTTTCATGCATGGATTTGGTCCAAATGCAGATTGCATTTACATCAACTAGCTTTGCATGAGTTTGAACAAATGGTCTAGGTAGCTAATGTAAATTGCATGAAATTAGGTGGTGAGCTAGTGCTATAAAATCAATCTACTCTTTTTTAGTTAATCCCATAGCTATAACTTTTTGGGATTTTCTAGAGTAACTCCTTTCCCACTCATTAATTTACTTAGAAATGCTTACTTTGACGAGCAGTGATGGTGAAACATTTGAAGTGCCAAGGGCGGTAGCATTTCAATCCGGAACGATACGTCGCATTTGCTCGGGTATTGAAGATGCCGGCACAATTCCTTTAATTAATATTTCCAGCATCATTCTCCCGGAACTCATTCAATACCTCGAGACTAGCATCGCAGACGAGTGGAATGCTTTCAAAAACTTCAAAGCTCAGCTTGTGAATGCTGATTTAGAAAAATTAAAAGCTTTTGTGCGGGTATATATATACATGTTATATATTAAGAGATTTTTAATTTATCACTCTTTTTTTATTTACTCCTTAAAAACCATACGTGTTTGGAGCTTGCTTGTTTGTCTATTCTTTCTTTCTAATACTACTTGCTCTCAGTCACACAATTAACTAGTGTTTGATTTGGATTACGTAATTAGAATTCTTACTGTCCTCTTCTTTATAGGCAGCAACGTTTTTGGAGCTCCCCAACCTCGCGAATGCCGCAGCTGAGGCAATCAAGCCGATGGTCAATACTGACTATGAAAAATCTATTACCCAGGCTTTTAACTTTTAAGTATTTGGGACATGCATATTGTTCTTTTTTAATTTAAGTCCCTACTATATAATAGATAGAGTCCATCTTGAACTTTTTCTTATTTGGAGTCAATGTTGTACTTTTTCGTACTAGGAATCTATAATACAATTATATTACTTAGTAGTATATTGATGGTGTTAAATTTTATCTTTAACGTTTTTCTATTTTGTGTGGGTTGCCGATCGATAGATCAATATTTTTTTTAATGAATGTTTATATTAATTGTTACTTCTCTAAACACTAATTATATTATTATGAGCTAAAACATGGTTGAAATTATAATAATATATGTCTGGAAACACCAAGCCATATATACATGTGCTAAATTTACAGAGGTTAATAAATCGAAACAAGTAATCTCATATGGCGGATAAGAATTTGAGAGAGGAGGAAATTGGAAATGTAAGTGACGTACGTAGCTAAATCTAATTAACCAAGAGTACTACTTAGCTGCACCTAATCAAGCTATTTCTCCAAATTAAATATCAATTCATGAAGCATTTTACAGAGCATGCTATCTCAGCAATCACACGGATCAAACAATATTTTTTTGGGCCGAAAACGGACATGATAATAACAAAAGGAAATCTAACTTGCATATTTAATTCTGATAAATCAGAACAACTAAATTTTTTTAGTTAATGGGAGAAACAAGGAAGCTTAGAGGCATCAATAGTTATATTTTTTTGTGAAGATAAAAGGAAATTTAAGATTCATTCTGTAGACTGAACATTGAAGCATTGCTTATGATCTCTGACCACAAATTTGTTCATTTTTGTCTTTGATAAACCTTGACCAGTCAAATGAAATTTTTTAGATATGAGAAAAAATATATTTTTAGAGTTGGACACTTGGAAATGTTATTTGCGTCCTCTATTAAAAATTGACGAGTTCTTTTCTAGATATTGAATCGCTTTCCCTTATTGTTTTGCATCGTTATCAACTCATACATGACTGGTTATCAATAGATTACTGACGACTAATTTGTTAACAGAATATTTCGTTTATGGAAAAATACCACCAGGTTTAGAATCCGTTGCTAGATATTGCGGTAAAAGGCGGCACGTAATTTAGCTACTAACGGATTTACAGGAATAGAATTAAGCAGTTGGTAGATTGCCATCGCATAAAAGTTTTGCTGCTAAACTTGCCTACTAATTCAGAATCTGGTGCTAAATATGGTTTGGAAGGTTCCAGAGGCGGATCTAGGATTTAGAGGTTGCGGGTGCCATACTATTTTACGAACATAGATATATTGCTATTTATATGATCAAAGTAAGGTTTTCATTTGATCGGTTTGATCCATGTTGAGTTTCGATTAGGGCTATTCATCTTTTCGAGATATAGACAAACCGAACACGCAAAAAGAATTGGTATTAATAGTTATGACAATCTAGAGCAAAGTACAAACTTTCAGGATATTATTACATCACAAAAAATAGGAGAAAATAATTTGAACCAAAATTAATAACTTTAACATTCTTGAGAAGATAAGAAAAGACTTACCAATTTAATGACCCTAGAAATTGAAACTAGTTTAATCCTGTATATTTAGCAAATTGTAAACAATGCCAATACATTAGGCACATTTACACCAATACATTTGACTGATTCTTTTCCTTTTCTTTTTCTTCAATTAACTGAGCAACCAAAAAATGTTAGGGAAAATTAAAATAGAAATAATTAACACAATGCAAATATGTACATAGTACATATAGAGGACTCGAAAAAGCAGATGTGGAGAAAACGTTTTTGTCTATGAGCTTTAATTTTGTTTTGGTTGTTATTTGATTAAAGGAGTTGCTTTCTTTAGTTTAAAAATGAAAAGGATATTGTTATATTTAAAAAGGTAAAGAAAAATAAGGAAATTCAGAAGATGAAAATATATGAGGCTGAAAGCCTAAAATTGAAGCTCAAAAAATTTAAGTATCTAAGGCTGCAAAGCCTAAAACTGAAGCGATATAACTTTTAAGAGTAAATGTTGAATTGGATTCGAACACGAGCATCTAGATACAAAATCAAGTACTTCACTAGTGGCACCAAACACATGTTCGCTAATCCGGGTGCCATCGATTGGTATATATCAGATTTCTTCTATATATACACAGAATTATATAAGTTTCGGTCGANTAATCTGGGTGTCATCGATTGGTATATATCAGATTTCTTCAATATATACACAGAATTATATAAATTTCGGCCGAGGGTTGCGGGTGGCGTGGCACCCCGTACTCCCTTAATAGATCCGCCCCTGGAAGGTTCTTCATGCGCTAAAGTTGTTTCTAATGTAGAGTCAGAGTTATCAGGAAATTATGGGAAGCGTTCCAAACATATAGTTATGTTAATATATTTCCCGTGGCAATTATTAGTAGTGGCAGTTGTGTTAGGAAGTATTTCGCAATTTTTAGGTGGGTGGTTAATCCATTAGTGTTTGTATCTAAAATTATTTGAATTCTGGTAAAAGGTATGCAGAAAATTATTCTAGTCTTTGAGTACTTCAACTCACAAGATTGCAGGTTCTCTCTTAACGAACCAACACTATAGGTCGAAAAAAGAAAACCTCTACCCAAACTAACTCTGATTTTGTCTTACAGGTCCCATAACTAGATCTATAACAGGGGACTATAACATAGACCCTCCATCTCAATTTATATGACCCTCTTTCTATTTTACAGCAAGAAGAGCTACTATGCCTCAATCCCAAGCACGTTGGGATCTTTCTACCTTAGGTCTCAAATATTTGATGCTGGAGTTGAATTAAGTGGTTTTACAAAGTTTCCAAACTTATTCCTACATTATTCTCATTTCAGGATTTTCCTTCATGAAGATGAATAAACAAATTTCCATGAAAAAAATTAAAAGACAAACTACAAAAGCTCTGTGTACAGAGTACTCAATAGTGTTGCTCATTATGGACAGAAACTTACCAAGCATATCTTTGTTAAGTATCTTCAATTCCGAGTTGTTGAAGCAAATCAGGGCCAACAAGGAATACTCGTCTGGACATTTGGTACCGGAAAACCACTATTCCTTTATATGCTGCCCGTGGTACACCATCCTGATGAAATGAACAGTTAGTGCAAGTTTTACGGAAAGCAAAAGGAGAACCATGAAAGAGGACAAATCCAGTCACAGCTAGTGTGAATAGACCTGTCCACAGTACAGGCAAAGAACAGATATGGGCCTTGAATATCCTCAATATTAACATCCTCAGACATATATGAAATGGAATAAAGATGGACCAAGCTACTTATGAATGTAACCACAATTAACATCACTACGGTCGGGCTATCATAGGTCTAATTTCAACTCCACCCCACCCTTTCCCATAGGACTGGCCTTGAGCAACAAATAGGCGTTAAGAAAATTTTATCTTTAAATTTAAAAACTATAATATTGAATATTAATCTAGGCTTTATTTACCAAAAAGTAACTAAATTTGCAGAAACAGTTTGTTTAAGAATTAAGTAATCAATTAACCAAGTAACCAAAGCCACAAATAAAACAAGTAAATGACTGAAGCTCAATCTAAATTGTAACCTATGGAACTAAAAGATCTCCTCCTATTTCATTTTCACTAATTCTATTCAAAATGGCTATAGATCAGTCTAAATTTTAATATATGAACCTAAGAAATCTCCTATTTCATTTGTACTCATTCTATACATGTGGTATAAAACCCAGAATGAATACATATCAAAATATACTACATCAACCTATCCAAAAGAATGCTTTCTATATCAATTATATGAAAAATGAATTATAATAAATATATGAGGCCAAACAGGCTGGCCTAACACGGTCCAAGTCTTGCCCATATTGGCAAACCCCATTTTTTGTTCCTGCAGACGCAGCCTCTAGCCCAAGCACATATTGCATGGAAAGTTACTGGGGCCCAAGCCCATAGATAGGCATAAGTGAAAGAGAAGATGGCAAGCATGTATTTCAAATTTCACCTCCATTTGCACCTGAATTATAGAAGGGAATGAGTTATGCAATTGGATTCTGATTGCTTACTCTAACACTAAGAGCACCTGCATACTTTTGCGTCGCAATACTATTACCAGCGTTTGTGATATCAGATCAACAACTGTTTGCGTCGATGATATATCGAAAGAGTTAAGTATCTTCAAAGTCAAGTTGATCTCTGTACTGAATACGCACATCACCATCTATGTTAAATGCTTTCAAAACAGCATCAGCTCCATGGATGGGCTTAGCCTTTTTAACCAAGTCACCAAAGTGTTTCACGTAATTGTCCTGAGAACACGAAACCACAAGTTACCTACGCAAGATGGTTTAAATGACAAATTTCTCAATCAACCATGTAATAATTTGCCAGCATTCATAAGTTGTCTAAATCTTTCAGCACAAAAATAATCTTCAAGTCATTACCTCCAAAAGGTAACTAAGGTCCATTGACTCCCAATCAACCTTACAAAATTCAAGGTAGAATACATGTCATACAAGTGGAAAGAATGAGTAGGCAAGAAAAGGGGTGATGGCAATAAAATAAAATAACATGCCTGGACATCATTTAGTTTAATTGGCTCAAGATACTGCTTGAAAAACTGCCCCAAACTAAAACCCTGCAATTAACGTAAGATTGTTGACAAGGTTTAAGGAGAAGTTTCTGTAAACGATGGTAAAAATGGGGAAAGATTTAATTTTATTGACTTAGATGGTGGAAATTGATAAAATTTCCATCTTTAAGAACAAGAAACATTTTTCCTCTTGATAAGCATCTAAATGAGTAAGAAGAGCAATGAGATACATATTAAATTCTTGATCAGTAAGAAACACTAAGAATATCACACCATTGAAGATCAAAATTCAAGCTCAACTATGTCTACTGAGCCAATATCATCTAGCACTGATTTCAAGGAGCACATACATGCTCACCAAAATTATATGTTCAGCAAACTTCTGGGCGAATAAATTGTCGACCTCTGTGATTCTCTTTGAGTCTTAGCCAGTCGTCCCAGTAAGTAAAAGTAAGGTCAAAGAACATCTTTGAAGGTTCCAAGGTAGTCAATTTAGGCAAGAAATAAGCACATCAGTTCGAAAGGATATGCCTTTGGCCACTTTGGAGATAATTCGTCCCAAGTAGATTTTGAAAGCATCCATCCAAGACCGGGAAAAAAATCTGAGCGGTAAAGAGCATCTGCAGTGTAAATTATAAAGCATTTCAGTGAGATCAGAAAAGCGGAACTCTGTTTACTTTGCTAAAAAACACCTAAATAATATCAATATATTCCGCAACATCGAGAAGAAAACAATGGGATTAACCTCCATGGAGGATACACATTTGCTCAGCCCAACAATGAAATCAATGGGGTAAAAATATGCAACTTTTTTTTTGGGACAGTCCAACATATTCAATCGAAGCCCCACAATCCTAGAAAGGACTATGGATTTGAAAAGAGAACCGTGGCACCCCAAAATTGTCTCTTACGACAATCTTAGCCATAAAATATTTGTGTTTGTACCAAAAGAACAAGTCACTTACGAATGCTTGATTCGCATGCGAAAATGATTGGCTCTTATCAGTTTGTGACTACCCAAGGGGTCATCATCGTAATTCTTCCTTGTTCCGTGCTCCCAAGGCCTTGAAAAACCTCGCTTTTAGTCGCCTCGATTTGCATGCGCAGTTCGGGCGCATAGCCGGAAAGTTTTTATGTTAGAATATGTGAATTTTGTGAAAAATTTGATGAATTTTGGTATTAATATGCATAATGTTGACTTCGGTCAACATTTTGGGTAAACGGACCCGGACCTGTGATTCGACGGTCCCGGAGGGTCCGTAGAAAAATATGGGACTTGGGCGTGTGCCCGGAATCAAATTCTGGGGTCCCAAGCCCGAGAAATGAATTTTTGAAAGAAATTGTTTTTCTGAAATTTGATATGAAATTTGAAATGAAAAGGAGTTAGAAAATATAGGTATCGGGCTCGTATTTTGGTTCCGACGCCCGGTACAAGTCTTAAATATGTGTTAAGCACTATATGTAAAGTTTGGCTAAAAACGGACGTCATATGACGTGTTTCGGACTAAAAATGGAGAATTTGAGTTATGAAAGTTGAAGAAAGAAAATCATGTGTTTGAGGCTTGATCCTATGTATATGATGTTATTTTGGCGATTTGATCGCACGAGTAAGTCCGTAAGATGTTTTTAAGGTTGTGTGCATGTTTGGTTTGGAGCCCCGAGGGCTCGGGTGAGTTTTGAATGGGGCCCGGGAGGTCTTGGACTTAAGAAAATGCAGGTTCAGGTGTTGCAGATGCCAGTGCGGCCGCGGTCATTTCCGCGCGGTCCGCGCTGGAGCCGCGCGGCCGCGATGCATTTTTGTGCGGTCCGCGTGGCTGAGTCTGAGGGCTAGGGTTTCAGGTTAACCAGCGCGGCCGCGCACCAAAACAGTGCGGTCCGCGCTGGAGGGGTTCAGAAGAGCCCCAATTTTTCTCCCACTCGGCGCGGCCGCAACATATTTTTGTGCCGTCCGCGCCAGGTCCTCAGAAAGGTATACAAGTTCGGAAAATCTCAGTCATTTTTCACTTTTCAAAAACCCAAAACCTAAGAGGCGATTTTCCAAACAACTTTTCTTCTCCAAAACGATTGGTAAGTGATTTCTAACTTAATTTCTTTATTCCTTAACATCTTTTAACATAATTTCAACTTCAAATCAAAGATTTTCATGGGGAAAATTGGGTGTTTTGGGTAGAACCTAGGTTTTCTACAAATTGAGAAGTTGGACCTCAATTTGGGGTCCGATTTAAAAACAAATCATATATTGGGATTCATGGGGGAATGGGTAACCGGGTTTTGGTCCGAACCTCGAGTTTCGACCACGTGGGTCCGGGGGTATTTTTGACCTTTTTGGGAAAAACCTTGAAAAATCTATTTTCATGCATTGGGGACGATTCATTTAGTAATTATTAATGTGATTAAATAACTTATGACTAGATTTGGGCGGATTGGTGGTGGAATCAAGAGGTAAAGCTATTCTAGAAGCGTAAGTTGAGCTTGGAGCATTCGAGGTAAGTGTTTGTTCCAACTTTGGCTTGAGGGAATAGGATTAGGATGATATTTGCTACTTGCTAATGTGGAGTACGGTGTATAGGCATGGTGACGGTTATCTATGCACCGGAGTCTAGCATGACCGTGAGTCTTGATTGCTTTTAATTCGAATAATGTGACAAGCTCCTTGTTTATTTGATAAGTTTCATATAATGTGAACGGTTGAGGAAGAATGATTTAAAAGGAGAATGTGTAGTGAATACTCCCTTGTCGGGATATGTTGGGCTGTTAGCTGTACCCTTGCCGGGTTAAAGGTATTGAGTTGTTATTCTCCCCTAAAGGGGTCTACTA